GACACATCTCAACATATTTGCAAACAACAGAGGTCAATTCACCCCAGAGAATCTGTTTTCAAGACCTCAGATTCATCTTTGTTGCTATCATCTGGATCACCTCCAAGAACTTTATAACTCATCTAAACTAGAAAGTTGAAAACTGATACAAGACCTTTATTAGGATCTTACATAAGCTGAGTAGGGAGAAAGAGTGCTTTTCTGGATCTGATGCACTATAATGTTGTTTTTATATTACAGAGACATTCAGAGTGATGCTAGTGATTCACTGATGATTCTGCTACCTGGGTTAAGACACAATACTTTATGCATGATTAAATTTACACTTAAAAAATTCTTCTGAATATTATTTAAACAGTGCCACTTTCTCCAAGCAGGACTATCTCTGCTTCATACCTACCTCCTTATCTGTTTCTCTCACACTGTAATCCTATCTCTACGGATCTTGGTGTTGTTCATGGCAAAGAACTGAATTGAATAGCTTGGAAAAGCTTACATCTCTCATTCTCTAACCATTGTACTTTCATCCCATAGGTTTGGTTCGTGAGTCATCTCTGGTCCATGAACACTTCAAAAAACTTACGTAATTTGGAGGCCACTAAAGAGTTGATATTATGTTCTACAAATATTCCTTCATTCTAGCTCAGAAGATAATCAGACAACTATGCTGTAGCATTAGGTGCATTTTTCAACTTTTTTTTTCAAGAAGAAGAGAAGGAGCAACAGTAGTCTTTAGACCTTAGGGAATCTGGTTACTTGTAAATATAATTGAAACTTGAAGAAGTACATAGACTGTTCTCAGTGATCCCCTGGCTAAGAAGTATGAGAGACAGTGGGACAGAAAGAGGAGACACGAGAGAAGTACTACATTTGATAAATGGCATCTCTGGAGGAGAGGGCATAGTCCAATCCACCCAGCTACTTGAATTCTTTCTTCCTTTCTTCTTCTCTTCCTTCCTTCTTTCCTTTTTTCTCTTTCTTTCTTTCCTTTTTTCTCTTTCTTTCTTTCTTTCTTTCCTTCCTTCCTTTCTTCTTTTTCTTTCTTTTTCTTTCTTTCTTTCTTCTTTCTTTTTCCTTCCTTCTCTTCTTTTTCTTTCTTTCTCTTTCTTTCTTTCCTTCCTTCCTTCCTTCCTTCTTTTTCTTTCTTTCTTCTCTTTCTTTCTTTCTTTCTTTCTTTCTTTCTTTCTCTTTCTTTCTTTCTTTCTTTCTTTCTTTCCTTCCTTCCTTCCTTCTTTCTTCTTCCTTCCTCTCTCTGTCTCAGTCTGTCTGTCTTTCTCCTCTATTATTTTATCATAAGCAAGGTGCTATTTTATACACTTCTGAAGTTGCAAGCATGAATTAGTGCCCTGCACTCAAATAGCTTCCAAGGTGTTAGTGGAAATATAACACAAACACAAATGCATATAATTAGAGAAATGGCTGGAACCCCAGATTCTTTTTTCCTGTATTTTATTCTCCTTTATTGAACACGACATGATAAGCCAAACTACCTTGAAGGCTTCATCCAAAATCCCTCTCAAGTGCCTCTTTCTACATGAAGCCTTCCCAATTTTCTACCCTAAATCTGTAATAACCTGTTCTCTTTCAGATCTAATGACGTATTTTGTTAGACACCTTTCTGTGACACTTAGTTATTATCATGTATTAGAGTTATTACCAAGGGCCCAACCACAGAGTTCAATACTCAGAGAGTAGGTGTAATTATGAGGACCCTGCTTCCAAAAAGGCAGAAAGCATGCATGAAAGCTCCCTGCTCCTCACTTTGGTGTATGTTCAAACATTCTGTAATTGGTACCAGCTAGGCATTCATAAGGTACTAATAAATCAATGCAAGTCTCCTGTTCCTGATTTTTTTTTTAATATGGCTAGTACTTGATTCAGAGTAAGATGCTATAAACTTCTAGGTTTATAGGCCTCCTTGGGGGTGGCATGTGGCCTCATCATAGACCTCAGTTCTTTGCCTCATTGCATTTGTTCTTTCCCACTTCAGGATGAAGGAGTATTGGAGAAAGAAACAACCTCACAAACTTCCAAAGATCTGAATGTGAAGAGCAGCAAAAAGTCCAGGAGCTTGAGTCTGCACCTTGATACTAGTCAGGAAAGAAGTTCCAAGGAACTTGTTTGACCCTGCCAAGACAAAGACAGCCAAGAGGGTGCTACAAAGATTCATCCATCAATTATGCCAAATTCAGAACTAAATGAAGGGACAAATACTTTGTAGAAATTAATCTAAATTGGAGCCCATGCTCCCCACAGAAAGAGGTGATATAGGAGAGTGTGTGTCTTTCAGAAATTGAGGGTATATTTGCTTATGTTCTTTCTACTTATTCAAAATAAATATATCTTTGTAGTTTATAGCAAATTTATATTAATTTGGACAAATAAAGCTGAATTACTAATTACTGACAGTTAATATTATTTGAACACACCAGCATGGGGGCTTAAGCACATAGAATTACAGAAAATCACCTCCTACCCTTTGGGGCTATCTGCAAAACCTTGAGAAGGAAATACAGCTGACCTCTTATTAGTCTAAGCTCCATGAAGTCTGAGGTTTTGTCTTATTTAAACCTTGAATCTTCTGTAATACTGGACATAGTGCTTTATACACAGTTGACAGTAAATGGTTTTTGTTGTTTAAATTATTATTTTCCATTTCAAAATTTTGAAAAAAATTGATGTCTTTTTTTTAAACCACCAACATTTTTTATTCTCTTTTCTTTCTTTATTTTTTTTTAGCAAGGCAATTGGGGTTAAGTGACTTGCCCAGGGTCACACAGCTAGTGTCAAATGTCTGAGGCCAGATTTGAACTCAGGTCCTCCTAACTCCAGGGCCAGTGCTCTATCTACTGTGCCACCTAGTTGCCCCAGCCACCAACATTTTTACCAGTATCCTTTCCCCTCATCCTTCCTAGAAAGCTTTCCCATATAACATAATATTTTAAAGGAAAAAAATAAGAAAAAAGCAACAATCAGCAGAATCAATGAATCAAAAAATTGAAAATAAATGCACCTATGCCCTTCCCCACTTCAACAAATGAGTGGAGTGGGAATGGCTTATTCTTTCTTTGTGTCTCCTTCTTCGTAATTTTGCAACATTCAATTTTGATTGTGGCTGTTCTTTCTATTTACATTATCGTAATCATTTTGTGTGTTGTTTTCTTGGCTCTGCTTACTTTATTCTGTCTGAGGTCATGTTGATCTTCCTGTGATTCCCCAAATTCAGTGGCCAGATTCTCCATCTTGAGCAGGTTGTGCTAAACCTGGGTGTTGGGTCCAGGCAAAGGTTGCCCTAGAGCCCAAGGCCATTGCCAGGGGGACCCATGCTGTAGCTGCTGCCCCTGCCCCCTCCTTCCTTTCCCAGGTGGGGTAGGGTAAAATCCAGAACTTCAGATTCTTGAAAAAAAAAACCCGATCACTGTCTTTACTCGTCACCTTTCCCAACTGTTCTCTAATCATTTCTATGGCTTATTCATTCAATTTCAAATTAATTGAGGCAAATAACGCTAGCATTTCAGTTTGTGAAGGTATGAGGCAAGCAATAGGAGAGAAGCATTGTAATACAGAAGAAAGAACACTGAGCTAGCAGAGAGGTGATTTGGGTTCAATCTCAGCTCTGTATTCTTGAGCTAGTTCCTTAGTCATTTGAGTTTCAGTGTTTTCCTTCATAAAAGAAACAAAAAGGGACAAGATCTTAGAAGTGGTACTTTGGATATTTATTTTTAAGACTAGCAAAGCGAGGCCCAGACAGGCCAAGTAATTTGCCTGACGTCACCCATACAACTCATGTTGTAGGTAAGATTAGAACCCAGGGTTCTTGATTCCTAGTCATTCATTCCTTCCACAATTAATCCTCTTCCTTCATTTCTAAAAACCCACTTATTCTCTAACTGTCATTAGCAAGCTCTATGAGCTCAACAATTCACTTTATCTTTTTTGGTCCCTCAATTTCATTTGCTATTAATAAGGGATGGAGGAATTAAATGTCCATAAAGTTCTTTCCAGCTATACAATGCTATGATTTGAAATAATTGCAGAACAGAGGAATAAATAGGCAGGACATTTAGCTAAACGTATTATGGCAGCCTAGGTATATAGCATAATAAAAATTATTTCACTGAAAACGAACGTCAAGAGTGATAGCAGAAAAGGCAAAAACACACGCTGTATTAACCAGATCCATTGAGAAAAGTGACTTCCCACGCTTTGCCCACAGAGGGCATCCCTGCTCATTGATATGTAGACCAAGCGAATGCAGCTGCTGGAAGCCTCTTCTCCGTCCTTTTTTTCTCTCTCATTTTTTTCCACCCTCCTCTCTCTCCCTCCCTCCCTTACGTCCCCCTCCCTTCAGCCCTCCCCCCCTTCCTGTGGAATCTTTGCCTGATCCAGTTCGTTTCCCTCCGTTCTCCACATTTTCCCTTCCAGCCTTCCACTTCTCTGGATCAATGGATGGTACAGCTCCAACTCCCAGCTCACATACTGCTGGTGGACAGCTCCAGTAACAAGTGAGATCTTGCCTTACACCCCTTTCTATCCCCACCTCTTCTCCGCACACCCCCCTCCCATCTTCAAAGAGAAGAAAATCATCATCACCATCTCTTTGGTAGATTTTGTTTTTCAACTTTACACAGCCGAAGACATGGAACCAGGCTCAACCTTTTAATTCACATCTCAAGCAAAGGATTGTTAATTTTTTGGAGGGTGTTCTTTTTTCCCTCTCTCTTCTCTTCAGGATATCCCTGTTTATTGATGATCCGCAAGCATCGGAGAAAGCTTCCTCCTCCCTTCTTCCCTCCTCCTTTCCCTTGAGTTAGTTTTTGGGGGCTTGGGGGCTCCTGGACTGGATGGAACTTTTTTCTTCCCCCTTTTGCTGATCTTGTCTGTGCACGAGAAAGGGGACTCAGGAGCAAGAGGAGCAGGAGGAGGTGGTGGTGGTGGTGGTGGAGGAGGAGGAGGAGGAGGAGGAGGAGGAGCAGAAGGGGCTCAGTGAGTGTGTATGCATGAGTGTATGCGTGTGTGAGTGCATGTGTGTGAGTGTTGTTGGTGCCCGGGACCAAAATCTCCCTAGCTGTTGGCTGAAATATGGAGAATAGTCTTGGATGTGTTTGGGTACCAAAGCTGGCTTTTGTACTCTTCGGGGCTTCCCTACTCAGCTTGCATCTTCAAGTCACCGGTAAGTAGCTCCTCTTTCTCTTTCTCCGCGCTCTCTCTCTCTCTCTCTCTCCTGTCCCCCTCCCAGCCTCCTCTCTTTTTTAACCTTTTCACTTCATTAAAGAGAGAACAGGTTGACGGGGATGGGGTGGGGTGAGGGAGTGGGATGGGTTTTGTTGGGGGGAGAAATTTACAGAAATATTCCGAAATATTTCTCTCGCTTTGCTTTCCCCCTACGTTCACCTCAGTCCCTTGTGATTATCAATACTATACACTTTTTTCTCTCTGGGTTAAGGGTGGGTGGGGTGGCATGGGACTGGGGCGCCGCTTTGCATATGCATATGTGTGTGTGTGTGCGTATGTATGTATGTATGTATGTATGTATGTATGTATGTATTTCTCTGTGTATATATGCATTTCTTATTTATTTTATTTACAAATACTTACGTAGACCTGTAAAGCCAGCAGGCTGTTTAGGGGAGATGATAGAGGTTGGGGGAGGCAGGAAGGGGCATGTGTGTGTAGGCTTGTGTGTATTGGGGTGGGGGGAAGTGGTTAAAGGGTTGAATCCTTACAAGGCTAGATCTGGAAAGAAGGAAATTAGAACAAGAGGAGGAGAAAGGGAGCACTGGGCATGGATTTAAGAAATGTGGGTAATATAAGACAGAAAGAGAAACAGAGACAGCGAGACAAAGAGATAGAGATAGCGAGACAGAGACAGAGAGACAGAGGCACAGAGAGAAGGAACAACTAGACATTTTGGCTTCTGATTATCTTCTTGGTAATTACCACTTTGGATTTGAAGACTGAGATTTGAGAAAAAGAAAGACGACCGCGCTTTTGCATTTTGAATTTGGGGTTGGAGGTCGGTTTGGGGCATGAGTACTGGGATCCGAGAGCATCAGGGGCATGTGGAGCGCGTGGCCATGCAGAAGAAAAACCAGAGGGCAGAAGCTACTTCGAGAGCCAACAACCCCTAACCCTCCGGAGCGTCCGTCTCCCAACTCGGATTGATTGATATTCGGCAGAGCTGGCTGGCTTGCTCTCCCCTCTGCACTTGGCAGGCACAGTTTCTAATTAAAAATGGCAAAGCTGGTTGTGTATTGAATTGGGCCAGAGAAAGAGAAAGAGGGAATTGATACTCAGAGGCCCCCGGGCGGTAGCAGCAGGCTGAGCGGAGCTGGGGGATTCGACGGTCAAACGCATCAAAAACATTGTAATGAATGATTACAATCCACTATTGGCTCCTTCGGAGCCTCCCCACAAGTGTGTGGGCGCCCCGGAGAAATGAGCGGGGGAAGCCGAGGAGGTGCGGAGGGGGAGAGGGAGGGAGGGAAAGCGTGGAAAGGAAAGGAAGCAAATCCCCTCAGGAAACGACCTTTTCTTGGGTCCAAATGAAAATACACAGCCCAGCAGGCAAGGGAAGGAGGAGGGGAGAAGTGTGGCTCTGGGAAGCTCCCTCCCATCCCGAAAATTAATAATAAATTAGTATGAAAATCACAGCCCAGCCAGTATGCCTCCGGGTGCCGTATTTGTGCTTTCTTTGCGCAGCAAAGTGCGGCATATGCCTGCAAAGGACTGAGAGTGGAGAAAGCGCCTCTTGCTGTCGGGAGATATTCAGATTGTCAGCCCTAGGGCGAGTCCGGAGGTCCTGGAGCTGCTGGAGCTGCCGCGGCACCTGGACTACTGTTGGCTTCTAAGCGCGTCCACACGAACCCGAGCGTTCTCTCTCTCTCTCTCTCTCTCTCTCTCTCTCTCTCTCTCTCTCTCTCTCTCTCTCTCTCTCTCTCTCTCTCTCTCTCTCTCTCTCTCTCTCTCTCTCTCTCTTTCGCTGTATGCGAGCGTGCATCTGGGTCCGGGTCTGTACCCATGTGTGAGTGCGGGTCGAGATCTGTGCCTGTGTGTGGTGTGTGTGGTGTGTGTATGTGTGTACGCGCGCGCGCGTGGGTATGCCTCTCTCTCAATGTGTTTATGTGTATGTGTTTGTTTCTTCCTGGCCCTGGGGATTCTCACCTCTTTACTTCCAGGCTGTTCTGGAGGTAGCATTGTCCTCTGCAATTACTCTCCCAGAAGGTGGGCCCTGGGCCATTAGAGCAGGGTAATAAATAGATATCTTTTAAAAATTTCCATCTTAAGGGCTAGCAGACCAGAGACTCGGTCTAGATTCCCCTTCCAAAAATATGACTGACTTACCACTATCTCCTGGAGCGAGGAAAAGGGAAAGTTTTTAGGGACGACCCGTTATTCAGTGTAAATTCCCTATGTCTTAGGGTTTACTTGAGCACGAGGAGAAGTAGGCAGAAAGAAGACAGGAGGGAAGGCACTGAGATGTATTGAATCGAAAATTTTGCTGTTGTGGAGGTACTGCAATGTTACTTTGACTATTATGTTTAAAAAAATACACAAAACAAGAGCTTTCAGTTTGTGGGGGGCAAACACAAGGAATGGAAGTTACGACTATAAGGGTGCCGTTCTTTCATAGATTTCAGCACGAATTAAAAAACCATAAAATCCACAATACTAGAGCTGGATGGAACTTTAGAGGTCATTTGATCCATGGCCCTCACTTTACAGATGAGGAAACTGTGGTTCAGATAGGGAAAGTGACTTGTCTGTTCTCATCCTGCCCCACCCCCACCCCCCTTAGTCTTTAGACCTTCCCCAAAACCAGAAGCATCCGATCTTCCTTTAATTCATATGTCAAAAGACTTCTCTACCTAAAAAAAAAAAAGTCATTACAAATACGTCGGTATCTCTGCCTTCATAAATGTGTAGATTTGTGCATCTAAATAGTTAAGCATCTCTAAACATCCTTGCTTTGTTTATAAATGAGTTGCATCCCCCTGCACAGGTACCAGGTGGAGAGGACCCTGCTCTTTTAGATAATGCTACTCCAGTGACTCTGGCTTCTGTTCATTAATCTGAATTACCTGTCCTCTTCTTCCTAGCTATTTTCTCCCTTCAGAAACCTAGCAGGGGACTGATAATGAAGAAAGCACAATTCACTATATGAAAGGACCAGTAGGAGGTGCCCTTAATAAGGCCAAGGAGCTAGTTTGCTATTTGGCAAAATTCCCATTCAGCAGGGCATTTTAAAGACTTTGTTGATTGGTAACAAAGGATTATGGAGGCCAACACAATGGGGCTGTGTCCTTTCACACTTGCTGACTAAAGCCCAAAGCTGCTTTGGAGATGTAAGAAATTGTTAAAAAACTATATAACAAAGGCCATCCTTGAACAGTGTCAGTGTTGGGTGAGGAATATGATACTTGGGGATGAGAATGAAGTCCTTTTAGTCTGCTTTAACCATTGTTTGTGAAATGCCAACTCTTATAGTTGACTTGAACTAAAAAAGCAATGCAGTTAATTCAAGCAAAGATGCACAACATTTACTGCTAAATGGGAAAAAAAGAGATTCAGTGAAACTATGGGGTCAACATTAACAAAATCTTTATAGAGTTAGCATCAAATTTCATAAGACAGTTTGAGACTATAACCTGGGCATACTTTCAAATCTCTCTCTCTCTCTCTCTCTCTCTCTCTCTCTCTCTCTCTCTCTCTCTCCACCACCCCCTTTCCTTTTTCTGACTGGGGAGGGAGAGAGATTCAATTTAGACACGTGGGTATGATGTACAGTAGACTATGTCAGAACCTCCTGGTGTCTGGGCACTTGGCATTCAGCTCCTCTCTGAGTGGTGCAGTATAAATCACTAGTGACCTGTCACAGCATCCATTTCACACACAGCAGCAGTTGCCCTCTGAGTTATGAAGCATGTGAAAAGGCCACCACATGTGTTATATGTGAATATATTAGGCTTAGTGCATTTGGTTTAATGCTCTTAAAAGCTGGGCTGGACAGAGCTGCTGATAGGCATTTTTCTGGGGAGAGATTTATAATTTCTCAGTATGTTTGGACTTAAATTTATTCTCTGGTAAATTAATCTCTCAGCAAACTTCCTTATTGTTTTCATTGGAGGGCAAGAGCTTTAATCTCATCTTAATTCCAAAATGAAGCCCTACTGTAAGTTCCCTAGTGAGAAACTGCACCAGCAGTCTAGAGAATTGTCCAAGTCAGTGCTGAGCTGCTAGAAGTGAGTGCCCACTTGTATGATTTCTATTTGATATAGAGTGGTAGATTTTCCAGGGAAATCTTTGCAGAAAAAGTATCTTCCATACTATCTTCTTTTATTTTCTTCAAGGTTGGGGGTTAGGGAGTGGAGCAGAGCAGAGCAGAGATTGCCTAACTCATCTTACTTCATTTGAATTCTAGGATCTGGTTTTTTGCTATTTAAGATCATAGGATTAAAGATTAAAGTTAGAAAGAAACGTCAGAGGCCATCTAATCCAAACCCTCATTTTCATATGAAGACACTGATGTCTGTGAGCTAAAGTGACTTTCCCAGGATCCCAAAGGTTGTTAAGCATCAGAATCAGAATTTATGCAAGATCTTCTGAGTCTAGGAACAGTGCTGTTTCTAATGTATCACATGATCTATTTATTGTAGGTGTTCCCTGGGACAATTCATCTCTCTGTCACTTTCTTTCCTCATCTCTAAAATGAGGGGATTTGACTAAATTACCTATAGGTCTTCCAGGTCTGCATTCTATGGTCTCACAATCTAAAGTTTAGCTCGGTAGGGATCACTCTGTGAAAATTTCATGGTAGTGAAATAATATCACAGTAGTAGTAGTGCTATCTAATGACTTGTCCTCAGGACACCAGACTATATCTCATGATATAGATTCTTTATACTAAGAGGAAGGCCTATGGATTGTGGTAGTGCTCTGGTTCTGAAACCTTCCTTCTCTGGGAGATTATCCTTAAATACCACATATAGAGTTTGTCAGATTAAGCCTTGGAAATGGAATTTGTACCTCATCCTTTTTGCAATGGAGATCATCTTATTAGAAGAAAAATTTATTTGCCTTTCTCTTTATATACAAAAAAAGCAACAAAGAAGAGAGAGTTTGAGGATTATCCCCTTCTGCTCAAATAGTACAATAAGGTCAAATCATGAGAAA